ATCGTTCGCACTCTCGTAAGAGGTCTCTTCCCAAATGATGGCTGCAACGACAGCGAATTCGCTGACATGGTAGGGCTTATATAGGATAAGAGTCTAGAGGTAGATACATTTTTTGGGATATATATCAATTCTCATCAATGTTCCTCAAATGTCATGCGCATCAGTTCGTTCGCATCTTACTCGCTCATAATGTCCATCGGAGTCGCTATGAGGATTCGAAAGCGAGACTGCTCAGATGTCTTGAAAACCCATACGCCATCAGACATACGATAGCGGCAGGATTCAAACCTGCGCAGGCATAGCCTAATGGATTTCGATTCCACCTCCTTAACCATTCGGACACGCTGTCTGGAAGAGTCAGAGGATCTCATCTCTACCCATGAGAATCGCCATCCTGTTCATGTTGCTAAGGGAGTGGCTCACAGCATCGCGGATCACCTCAGCAAGGACGATGATATTTAGCTGACTCGCATTCTTTCATACGTAGCCCAGCGCTTTGACAAGAACGTCGGCGTAGTAATGGTATCGTTCGCACTCTTCGTAAGAGGTCTCTTCCCAAATGATGGCTGCAACGACAGCGAATTCGCTGAAATGGTAGGGCTTATATGAGATAAGAGTCTAGAGGTAGATACATTTTTTGGGATATACATCAATTCTCATCAATGTTCCTCAAATGTCATGCGCATCAGTTCGTTCGCACCCTACTCGTTCATAATGTCCATCGGAGTCGCTATGAGGATTCGAAAGCGAGACTGCTCAGATGTCTTGAAAACCCATACGCCATCAGACATACGACAGCGGCAGGATTCGAACCTGCGCAGGCAGAGCCCAATGGATTTCAAGTCCATCTCCTTAACCACTCGAACACGCTGTCTGGAAGACGCAGAGGATCTCGTCTCTGCCCATGAGAATCGCCACCCTGTTCATGTTGCTAGGGGAGTGGCTCACAGCATCGCGGAGCACCTCAGCAAGGACGATGATATTTAGCGGACTCGCATTCTTGCATACGTAGCCCAGCGCTTTGACTAGATACATTTTTTGGGATATACATCAATTCTCATCAATGTTCCTCAAATGTCATGCGCATCAGTTCGTTCGCATCCTACTCGTTCATAATGTCCATCGGAGTCGCTATGAGGATTCGAAAGCGAGACTGCTCAGATGTCTTGAAAACCCTTACGCCATCAGACATACGACAGCGGCAAGATTCGAACCTCCGCAGGCAGAGCCTAAAGGATTTTCAGTCTACTTCCCTAAACCACTCGGACACGCTGTCTGAAAATTTCGAAAGATCTCATCTCTCCCGATGAGAATCGCCGCCCTGTTCATG